TACTACTCGTACTACTGCTACTGCTACGCTACTGCTACTGCTACTGCTACTGCTACTGCTACTGCTACTGCCACTACTACTACTACTACTCCTACTACTACCACCACTACTACCACCACTACGTACTACGTACTACGTACTACGTACTACGTACTACGTACTACGTACTACGTACTACGTACTACGTACTACGTACTACGTACTACATACTACGTACTACGTACTACGTACTACGTACTACGTACTACGTACTACGTACTACGTACTACGTACTACGTACTACGACGACGACTACTGACTACAACTACGACTACGACAACGCCACTACTACTACCACTGCTATTAGTACTCTTCTTCCGCTACTACTACTACTACTACTACTACTACGACTACTACTACGACTACTACTACGACTACTACTACTACTACTACTACTACTACTACTACTCCCTGTACTTCTACTTCTACTTCTACTACTGCTAGTGCTACTACCACTACGACTGCGCGTGCGCCTGCGACTGGGACTGCCACTGCGACTGGGGCTGCGACTGCTCCTGCTGCTACTGCTATTGCTACTGCTACTGCTACTACTGCTTGCTTCTTCTACTACTCTTTTTTTGGATACTGCTACTGCTGCTGCTGCTGCTGGTACTATTGCTACCGCTACTACACTTCTGCTACCACTACTGCTACCACCACTACCACCACTACCACCACTACGACTGCTATTGCCACATCACCAGGCAGGAGTGGAAGCTCTGACACAAGCTGGCTTTTGGGCAGCCCAATGTCAATCGTACCTTTGCTAGCTTCAACGAACTTGTGAAATGCTTGCCCGAATCGAACCCGAGCACACAACCAGATTTCCAACCGGAAGCAACATGCAGCACTTAGGTTCTCCGCCACCGCAGTGTTCGCGTTACGTGCAGTGGGCGGCAGTTTGCCAACGTATACCAAGTCAGACGCAGAGCAGGAACAACTGATATCAACTGATCCAACAAGCTGTAGCAATCTCCATCAGCACCAGTGTGAACTGATTCATGCGCACCTGCGCCCGCAACGGACCCAGCTGCTTGCGAATCACCTGGGAAGGAGGTGCTTTTCTGAGCGCTGCTTGCAGACTCGCGGCATTCAATGTGAGATCTGCAAGGTTTTGCTGGAGCTCCCGGCCGAGTCAAGCAGCCCCTGAGCCTGCACTCCATCTTCGAAAGGAAGAAATCTGGTGAAACATCTTAGGCGGAATTCGGTGAAAACAAGCTCGGATGTTTTCAGCAGGTCTGGATGAACAGCTGCAGAGGAACACACATACACACAGGCACAGTCGCCCGCCCGCCCGCCCGCCCGCCCGCCCATTGCCCGCTTGCCCGGTTGCCCTCCCGCCCGCATAATATGCATCTATACTTATGATACAGATATACACGGGCGCTTCAAGTCCACGACATCCAGGAACCTATGGCACTCAACTGTATACCAGTAGGTGTGCAGCCTCCAGGCGGCATTGGTTTCGATCCAGGATGTCGTCCAAAGTCTTCATGGTAACCTGACTCCAGCCGGTAATGGAAGCTAGCCTGTCTTCGTAATGTCCGGAAAGCCGTGAGCTCGCAAAGCAATTGTACCCTCCTAGGTGGTGACACCCCACATTGGGCACCACTTCTGATATCTTCTGTTGCTCATCAGCGTTCTGCCACTCTACACAAAATTGGTCACGGGCCCACTGGAAATGGTAAGGCAGCTGCCCAAACAGTCACAAGCCGAAGCTCGACCTTTCGAGACACTTTGCTTGCAGGCGAATGGGGCGTGTCCGACCGTGGCGCAGCATTGAAGAGCTAAGTGAGGTTCCCCAATCAGTAGCAGTCCTTTCTGATCTTAAATTAATCGCCTGGAGAAATGTCTGACCGCTGATGCTGCAAGGGGGATCTTTAGGTTTGAGGCCGGCAAGCCCGTGTAGGCAAACCAATAGCCAGCGATCCGAATCGTACAGTCGTACAGTCCATCCAAGCGTATGGGAAGACATTGAACCGTCCATCTAGACCAAGGTCGAAAGATACCCATGTTCATGATTCATGGCAATGAATAGCAAAAGAAAACAGCGACAGGAGTACGAATTTCCATACGAACTGAAGAAAACAGTTGCACCAATGGCAAGGCAGTTTGCGCAAGCATGTATTAACCTAGATGTTGCTTAGCAGCACTATCAGGCAAGAGGTGGGAAAGACGGCAGCTCAAGTGTAAGCACCGGGAGATGGACTCGGCGGCTTGGCGCCGCACCGAACCCTTGTACAAGCAGGACCACCCAAACCCGTCCGTTTGTCAATGGATACTCGAAACAAACGGCGACAAGCCAGAGTTCAGAACAACTGCAGCTTATATTTCATGCTAACAACACAAAAACCTCCTCCGCATTCCTTGTCCGCTTTTGACAGTCATGATCCCCGCCTGCTTGCTTGGATAGGCAGCCTTCAGTGCCCGAGCCCAGTCGTACCTGTTGTGGCAACTTGCGGGCTGCAGGTGGCCTGCAGGTAGCAGCCACGGCTGCGCAGCAGCAAGCTTGCAGACATGTTACGTCTTCATACAGAGAAGAACCCAGAGCCGTTCCAAGCTGTCTACGCTACCAGAAGCAGCGCAACAAACAAAAGTCTCTATCGTTATACCGCAAGGAAACTGCACGCAACACGGGCACGAGAGGATGTTGCGGGCAGTGGGGGGATCGACGTCCAGGACGCAGGCTCCAGTGTCCTCCGCTGCATAAGCTTGGCAGGGACTGCCGTTGAGCATGGTAAGTGATACCCCAGCTCTACAGCATTGGCAGGTGGCAGCATGAAGCCTCTACAACTATGGAGCATGAGAGCCTGCCTGAAACGCACCTGAGATCACCTGAGATTCCGATGCACTTCAGTTCAAGGACCGCTGACTGTTCCAAGTTTGATACGTGCATCCCGTGAGCTTTAATCAAACACTTTGCACTGCTGATGGGGAGCTGTCGCTGGCATGGACCACTGAGCTCCAAGACTCTGAACCGACAGACAGTAACTCAACGCAGACGTCTCCTGACCCTTTGCTGCAGCGGACTGGCGTCGTTTTGGCAAGTACTCAGGGTTCGCCAATGCTTTTCTGCCTTGCAGCAGTGCCCTCATGATGACCTCATGGGGCGAGGCTCGCGAGGTTCTCTCGTCGTCAGCCATCCCGGCTTGTAGGATCATGCTCATCGAGCTGGTACCAAGCCGGCCTTTCGAATTCCACCCGGAGCACAGGGGGCAGCCCTTTTTGTAGGGCGCCAACTGTCCAAACCCGGGTCACGCAGGAGTCCATGGAGGTCTGCCGGTCTGCCACAGTTTCGTCTGCTTATCCTTTCGGCCCTCTCGCAAGAGCTTCAAAACGCTCCGGGCACTTCTACTCTTTCATACTTACCAAGAACTTGCTTGCACATCGACGCTTGCTCAAACCCTCTTAAATTACAGACCTGCCGGCCGCCATTCTCCGCTTGCGACAGATGGCATCGTCATCGAACATCAAAGCGGAGCATTTCAAAAGAAGGGAAGAAAAGTTCATGCAGGGCGGAAATTTCAGGAGGCAGCTCGCCTGCAAGATGCATTGATGAACATTGCTTTGAAATCGACCAGCTTTCCCTTGCTTGGGTGGCACAGGGTGCTTCGTCAAAACTTACCGAGGAGTGGCACGTTCGGTAGCACACTTGGTAGTGTTCGACAAGCTCTGCAGAACAACACTGAGTCATGCTGGGCAACGCCGGGTACTTGGGGCTACTATGTGAATCGCTGGGCAGTGCCCGACAGTACAGTACAATCATGCTGGGTAGCACCGGATAGCTCTCAGTGGACGATTTAGTAGCCGGGGAACTGTTAAATCGGCCGAACCCTTCGAGAGGACTGTTTATTGATTGGACTTTTTGCTATCACTGTATCTTTGTGCCAGAATTCAGACTCGGGCCAGTTTGGCACGTTGCGGGGCTTGTTCAAAATGTGGAACCTTGCCGTGGAGTGTTTCTTGCCACTCTTGTCGTCGCACCGACGAATGCCTCATGTTGCGGCCGACCTACTCTCCAAACGTCCGACGACTTTCCCACGTCTCCGAAGGTGCCTGGCTCCATTACTTTGGGAGCCTGAGCCGGACGATGCCGGGCCTTGGCTTCTGCATTTTCTGCATTTGCAGGTCTTCCTTTGACTTCTGATCATAACTATAACCACAGTTCCAGTGAGAGCCGTTGCTTCGGCGTGGCAGACATGGCAACCTGCTTGCTCTCTTTCTGGGACTGTCCACTCCATGCCCTGTGTGTCCTGCCCTCGCAAGCGACAGAAACGAAACTTCTATGGCTCTATGAGGCTCTATGGATCTACGTTCCAGTGAGCTCCACACCCGGTACCGTGATCGGCGTCGGAGCTGCTGCTTAGCAGGACCTTAGAGTGGCTCAAGTCATGAGCATGTTGACAGGGCCCTCACGCTCCTCTGAGGTCTGTCTAAGAGTCTATGCAGAGGAAGTTGAAGTACATGTCAGTATCACGTGCTGCTGCGAGTTCTGTCAAGGAAGACAGGACTACGCGGTCGACAAGGTTGGCACCAGCACGGAGTTGTCTTTGTCCGTGCACGCGCCTGGGTAGGCGGTAGACGGTGTCTGTCGCATGCCATGACCTTCGGACTTGCAAACGTGTTCGCTACATGCATGTCTGGGCGCCGGGCTCTGTACAGCCGGAAAATTTCTCGGATAGTACCATTGCCCTTTAAACCTGCGTGACACAGGGTACGGTAGCCGTTCACAGGCTGACATAGCAAGTCTTCAAATCCCACGCTTCGTTGCTTCAAGAATCCCTGCTGGCGACAGCGCACGCATGTCCCTACGTGAGATGCTAGCGTGAGGTCGGCACTGCATCGTCGAATCCCTGATTTGAATTGTTGGCCTGCCAGAGGCAAGACGAAGGCAATAAGGTGCCAAGGGCTACGCACTCCTTGCCTGGGAGTCGCGAGGCGCCGCACGATTACCAGGTCATTCAGCTCGGAAGTGTCTAAGGCCTCGCTTGGCACTCTCACGCTTGCAGTCGCCCTAAAAAATGCTAAACTTTGGGATGGCACACTTGTAGCAAAATGCCCTTTGCTTGAACAAGGCTGACTTTACTGTATTTTCCTGATGCTCCTTGGTGTCGTCAGGTATTGCTGATGACTTCAGATCAGGGCGTGAAAGATTGGAGGTTGCTGTGCACAAGGCGTGTCTAGCGCTCTGTGCCCAAGAATTTGCATGCAAGCAGCCAGAAGTCCTTCACCAGGGCGAAGACTCCTGCGCGCACATCTCGGCCCTGTGGTTTGCCTCACACCCACGTGCAGAGGCCTTCTTCAAACATTCTAAGCTTGAGTCATTTGAGGAACGGCACAATCCAAATTCAAGAGATTAGAGGACTCATTATTGAGCCCCAGGCTTAGCAGTAGGAAAATCGGAAGCAGCACCCGAAGCCCCACCACCGAGCACGCATGAGCCCGCAGCATTGGGAGACACCAGCAGGATCACAAGACTTGTCGCACGCCCAAGGCTCCGGAGGTTTGAAGCCACTGCGAACACACGGGGCGAAAGCCGAAGGGATCTTTTGTCTTCGAAGCCACAAAGTCGCCAAGTCCGTGGTGCCCAGAAAGCAGCCTGCGCACTCCCGCTTCCCAACTTCCCCGCTCCTGCTCTCGATGCCACCCAGCTCTGCAAGGAAGCCGAGGCGTCCCCAAAAAGCTTCCTCGGTAGATTCTCTGATCACCGCCCGGGCAATTTCAATAATATGAGAAGCAGCGCAGGCTGGTGACAGCAGAGATGACCATATTATATCTCACATCTCAGCCTTGCCGAGCCGTGGCAACCCAGGCCCTTGCTGGCTGCCAGATACTCGCATCGTTGGACCGACCGTACAACACCTGAATCTTCAGGGGGCTGCGCAGCAGGCATGGCAACCGTAAGAAGACTGGGCATGGAGTACACGTGTACTTGTTTTGCATATTTTCAAAGGCCTTATTCCGTATCATGCCTCAAACCAGATCCACCTCCCCATGTACAATGAGTGCCAGGCCAGCTTGTCCGCTTCTCCACCTAGCCTGGCGGCAGAAGAGACCAGTCGAGGGGCTGCAGACGGCCCCGGCCGCCTCTGAGTCGCGTATCTCTCCGCGTGTTCTACGGCTGTCTCGACCATACTCGAGTGGAAAGGCAACATCGCTCGATGCTGCAAGCCGCACAATACAGCCCATCCAGAAGCTCCAAGCCCGCGCAAGTCTGTCAACTTCAAGACAAGGCGAGACTGCAGCTGTTGGTCCGTGAAGTTGGCAGACCTGAAAAGCGTAAACAGATTTCACTCAAACGGGTGAGGTGATTTCGTTACATGTACTTCCCAGGGTCAGGTGCGACAAGCTTCAATTCTTCTCATGTCACGCTTCTGTGACCCCGCCTGCGCCCATGTCTTATGCATTCTTATGCTCGATGTGTACTCAGCGAGATCGAATCACGCGTACATTCTACACGTGCGGTGCCAGTGTTTTGGCTTCCTCGCAAAAGTCGCAATGCAGGCATGTCTGGGCTTAGATGGGAGGGCCTCGGGTGTCCTACGACTGCCACGATCCTTTTGGCTTCTGACTCCCTCCGCAAGGCCCGAGCGAGCTGCCCTCGAAGAAACTGAAGAACTGCAGCGAGGCGTCCTGCGGCACCGTTCAAGGCACCGTTCAAAAGCAGCTCGTCGTTCTAATCCGAGGGGATCTGCCTGGATGGGAACAGCGCCCAGCTTGCAGTGCACCACCGCCTTTGCTCGAGACTTCTGACTCGAACCAGGGTCTCGAAAAAGGCTGCAGAGTCTAAGGAGCCAGCCGACTCTATGAGGGCCACAGCACTGCAACCCTGTCAAAGCAGGAACGAACGTCGGCAAAAAGGGTGTCGGGAGGTCGGGTAAGCCTGGCAAAAGAGACTTGCATCGAGCGCTTTTGGGCCGATGTGCAGGGGTTTGAAGGTTTGCGTGCAGATTCACTGCGAAGCGAGCTTGCAAGATTTTGTGGCGATGCCACCAGGGCGAGGAAGCAGCCAAGGTCGAATCGAAAGGGGCTTAATTTGCTCAGCACATGTAAGCACCTCCACGGAACTCTTCGACAGCGAATGCTACTCGTTTACACTGGAGGTGCAGTATGGGCCACCAGGCCGGCGAGTCATATGTCGGAAAAGCTTGTCTGATTCCCTGACGCCCGTTGCCACTAGAGTCGACTAGAGTTTCAGCATGAGCCTTTGGCTGAAAAGCAAAAGGAAGAGCGCAAGCGCGCAAGATCAAAGTTCAGTCGAGCTTGGACGACGATGAGAGAGCCTTTTAAACTCGTCCACGCTGCTCTTCCCAGGAGACGTGTAAGCGATTTCAACTCCAGCGTGGCAGCCGTCAAAGCATTCAACTTCTCTGTCGGACCTGGGGCTGTAGCAAGATCTATGCACTACACCCAACAGCGAACTTAGAATTGTGGCTGACCAGGGCCGAGTCTGCCTGCGACCTCGCCATTTGACATTTGTCTGCTCAGGCGACGCAAGCATGAGGCCCGCATGGCCCGCACTCCGCATGTGCTGCGACTTGCCACTTCGTCAAGTCTGCCCACACAGGGATGGAAAACACCGCATGTAATGATGTGGACAGACTGAACTGTACCTAGTTCAGCCTTTCTGTACAAACGAGGTAGGACGATGGCGATGACATCCAGAAAATTTGCATCTTGTCGTTTCCGAGCTATCCTATTCTACTCGACAGGCATCACGGCACCACAGCGCCAGCAGAAGGCTGCATCCTTCCGATGCGGGGTCGCGTTGCACGAAGGGCACTGGCGCCCCGAACTCTCCGGAGATTCCTGAGCGAAGACTCTGTGACACTTGAGCCTGGCCCGATCCCAGTGAATCTCGGCCGCACGTCCCGGGCTGCTCTAGACACAGGTAGGGACTTCGCTTGAGCTGCAGGGGCTTCATGGGCTTCTGTTCTCAAGTTCGAACATCCAGCTTAACGGCTTAAACGAACGATACTTGTTGCGAGAGCTGTTCCAAGTAGCTGCACCAAAAACGATTGTACAGGCACCAATCGCAGTGGTAGAAGATGGTACAAGACAGTGCTAGATTCTAGAGGAGCTCCTTCGCATCTTAAAAACCGAAGCTCCTGTATGCTCTGGAAGCGGATGCCCTGCCGATCAAAGCTCGCAGTAGCCATGAAGACCTGGGAGGCGATTGGGGGGTGAAACTCTCCTTACAAATGCTGGACTTCAGAGGCACGGAGACGCTGAAGCACCAACGCGGGCTTTGCTGTTTGTGCCATTTTAGTTGGGACTGTCAAAACTCACCCACACGGCCGCGGCCTCTGCCAGCTTGCTCAGCTGATAGGGGATGATCCCTACTCCTTGCAGTCAGGGTGTAAGTTAGCCCGTCCACAGCTGTAGAATCTGTAGAAGTGCCCAATCGGTTTAAAGGACGCAATGGAGGAGCTTGCCAAGGGCAGTTGGAAGCTGCAACGAAAATCTTCAGGGACTCAGCGATGTATCGAAACACTCCCAAAACACTCCTGCCAGAATGGATGCAGCCACCACCAGGCGACCTGGCAGCTTCAGCGAGTTTCCTGCATTCTTCTGGGCTGCCTTCTATATCTCCCTCTCCAAGCTGGAAGCTGCAGGAGCTCTGAAGCCAGTGTGAAGTGTTCAGTGTTCCTGAGGGTCCAGCCTTGGGCGGTGATTGGCGTAATGTCGCCAAAACCCACAGTTGTCAGCGTGGTCAAGCCGAAGTACAAGGCAGTGAAGAAGTCCTTTCAGGGCAGAAGTGCGCTTTTGCGGGAAACAGGCACTGGCGCTCGGGATCTTCATTTACGTGACGCGGGTCTCAAAAAACCCGCTCCGGAAACTGCGGGTTCACATCGTGCTCCGCGGCATAAATCGCCCCTGGTGCCAGGATGCTTGGGTGTGGGTTTCTACACACAATTGACTCAAAAGAATCTAGCCAAATCTCACCGTGGCTCCCCACCAAGATGCTACAATGGGATCGTCGCTGGAAGCCAAGCTAAACTCAACGCTTCACAAACGGTTGAAACTCCAACTCCCCGCTGCCCTTCCACCTGTCGCAGTGTAGAGCAGCGTGAAAATGGATAGGAGGACTCGAGTCACCTTGGTCTTGGGTGCGGGCTGTAGACGTATAAACCGTCTTACACCGATGCAACCATCAGGAACAGCTCTTGTATGGATCGTGATACACAACCCTAAAAACACAACCAGCAAGCAAAGCAGCACGCAAAGCATTCGTTTCTGCTGCAAACTAGCGACGTCACTTGAAGAGAGTCGTCCGGGGCCGGATTCCACAGGCTCTTCCAGGCTTGCACACTTCACTGCCATGACAAGTCAAAGCACATGCCCACATGCAGTGTTCTTCACATCGAAACAGAAAAATGTTGACTTGTCACGCGTGGTATGCATGCGAAGCTTTCGGCGCTCTCGTTGCGCCTTCCTAAGGAAAAACCTTCTCTCTTCCTCTTTAGCATCAGCAGGGCTTTGCTTCACGTTGAGGCAGCCGTCGTTCTTGAAGCGAACGTAGAGGAGGTCCTCCATGGGTTTAGTCAAACAGTCACCGTACTGTCGCCACGTTGGAACCCAATGGAGAGACACCAAGCCCTCCTGAACCATCTGGCGTATTCCCAGTATGTCCAGCGAGGTCTGACGTTCTGCTGCCAACTGGTTCGAGCCATGGACGTGGTCGTAGAGGCTGCGCGCATCAGTGACGAGGTGTCCTCGGGCTCGAATCTCCTGCTGCCACGTCGAAGAGGTTGTCACGGCGCCGTCGTAGAGGGCGTCCCAAAGCTTCATGTTGTAGACGAGGCGGTCGGCGCTTGACGACATAGAGCAGCATTCAGCAGCCATACTGCTCCGAACGACCCTGCTGATCTTGTTGCTGTGGAACTCCAGCAAGTTTCCTTTTCCTTGGGAAGTCAGGACGCTGGGGTCCACCAAGAAGTGTGCTTCTCCACGTTGTGCTGCGAGGCTGTTGCTGCTGCCGAGGGCCGCGTCGAAGTAAGTAACAAGCTCGGGGTTGCCTGCCAAACGACGGACTCTGAGCTTGGCCTTGCCCTCAGTAGCAGTAGACTTCAAAGCCTTCAGAAGCTTGTTCGCCTCAGCCAGGTCGCTCCACGTTGCCTGCCCAACTCGTTGAGCGAGCAGACTCACCTGGCAGAGGAGCTCGGGGACCACAAGGTGCACCGGCCAACGAAGTTGAGCGATCAACCGGCGAAACTCCTTGAGGCCTGCTGCATCGAGGTTCTGGGAACCACGGTCACGAAGGACAGCCTCCTTGAGCTCGAAGACGTAGTCGGTCATGTCGTTCAGGAAGGTGTCGCCCTGCAGGGAGATCTTCATGCCCAGGTAGGCCACCGGCTTCTCTCCAATCACGATCCACTCCTTGATGGAGAAGCGCTCGTCGATGGCCTTCTGGGTCTCCTTGGCCTCCTCGCCGTCCTCCACCGCCAAGAAGCCGTCGTCTACGTGGAGGCAGAGGATGGCCACTGTAGTCTGCTTGCCGCCGCGCTTCTTGACCTTCACAAAGGTAGCTGGCGCAAAGGGGACCTCAGTAAAACCGCAGGCCAAAAGGAGGTCTTTTGCCTGCATGTACCAAAGTCTTGGTGCCTCCGCCAAGCCGTACGCGCTCTTGAGGATGCGCCACAAGCCAAAAGCGCCAACACCATGAAGGTCTCGAGGTGGACGGCAGTACAGGTCCCGGGCCACGCTTTTACCTGAAAGGAACGCGGTGCTCACATCAAAAAGAAGACATCTCCAGCGACGCTGGAGAGCAACGCTCATCGCCATTCTGACTGC